TTCAATTTACTTTATAATCTCAGGCTTATTTGATTTCCTTTATGTGGTGAGATTAGAAGATTGAAAGTTGAATTTAGAGTCTTGAGGTGAGTAAACTTCTGTGGAGTATGAGGAAGAAATCTGGGTAAAAATAAGTGAAAGGATTAGCAAGCAGCATTCCACATGAGGGTTGGAAATAATTAATTCAAACAACCTTTAGCTGAAAGCAGAAGTAGAGAAATAGTTACTTTCCATGATAGTGATTTTTATCCTAGATGGAATATGGAAGGTCTCCTGTGTGGTGAGCTAGATGATGTAGCACAGGTAAAAGGGAACCTTAAGCTAGTAAGGCTGTGCTCTTATTTAAGAGCAGTTTTAGTAATAAAGTAAAAGAATAGAAGGTTGTGATCCACCAGTAAGAGGTTCGTAGTTAAGATTTAAAGAGACTTAATAACAAGATACCGGTTGTGGCCATCGTTTGAAAGTGAATTTTGTCAGAATAAACAGGTCAGGACATGGTAAGTCTAAGGGGACCCCAGGATCCCGCAGCCCCAACTGCTGGGGAAACTGAGGCCTTCGCGCCCCGGGCAAGGCAGGGGAGGGGGGGCTGGGCAGCCGGGGCCCCGGGGCCGGGTCACTTCCTTGCCTGCGCCTGGCCACCCGCATCGCCCTTTCCGTGCCCAGGGCAGAAGGAGCGGGGGCCCTGGCGCTTCCTGTGGCTCTCAGGGAATCAGGAGCATTGCGGGGGCGTCACCCGGCGGGACTGAGCAGACCCCTTCCTGCGGAGGGGGGCGAGCCTGCGGGCAGAGGCAGGGACACAGGACTCTCGCCCCCTCTGAGGCCCTGCTGGGTGCCCAGGGTCGTGCCACATCCGCCCGCAGCGCTGGGAGTAGGGGTGTCCCACTGCACAGACTGCGAAGGGAGGCTGTGACGAAAGGGGATGTCCAGTGGCGCTCTGCTGAGCCCTGCGTCTGAGGCCAAAACAGTTTCTCTTCTCACTGCCCAGGACCTGGTCCCAGGCCCAGGGGCTGCTGCCAGACCTGAGGCTGAGGGGCTGGTGTCCCAGGGGTGGGAAGGAAGCGGCCCCTCACCCAGCCAGCACAAGCGGGAGTCATGCGGGACTGTGCAGGCAGCACCGCTGGCCAGCCCCCCCCCCCCCCCGCCAGGCGAGCAGAGTTGAGGTCTGGGTGCCAGGGTGGGGCTGAACAGTCCCCCTCCCAGGCCAGCTCCTGCGGGTGCCTGGCCTGGGAGGAGAAGCAGGCAGTGTTGGCTGGGTGGGGCAGACGTGCTTGTGGCCTCCCCCATGGTGACTGTGGCTTGGGGCGGCCAGCACCCTCCCTGCTTGGCTAGTGTGGTACTCTCAGCCCAGCTGGCACCAAGCTGTGGGCCAGGAGTGCGAGCAAATGGAGGGGCTGGGAGTGGGAGTGGGGGGAGCCGGGATTCTTGCTCCCCAAGTGGCTCTGGCCAAGCCCCTCGGAGGACGGGTGTCACGGGGGCTGTGGGAAGGGACTACCCGCAGTCCCCATGCCTGCGCTGCCTCTCCCACGTGTAGCCACAGTCCCTCCTCCCGGCTGTGTCCCGTCTGACCCGGGAGTGCCGCTGCAGGGTGCTCCGAGTGACAAGACGAAGCTTGAGGTGTTTATTCTGAGGGGGGCAGGCGGGCGGCACCACGGCTATGGGTCACCCCTGCTACCAGGGCCCCCAGCCCTGCCTGCTCCCTCGCTGGGTGTTGGCCACGCTCTGCTCCTGCGATTCCGGCCCGGCTCCGACCACAAGCAGGGTGCCGGGGGACATGGGGAGGGATGGGCTGGGCTCTGCGGCCCGGTGTTGACCTAAGGGTTCCGCCTCCTTTGGAGCCCTTCGTGGATAGAGAGGACGAGACGGGCTGGGCACCCAGGAAGGGCGGGGAGAGGAGCTTTTGTGGCGATGGAGTCCTCGCTTGGCAGCAGGGCGGGGCCGTCAGGAAGCCCGGATGCTCGGCCCGGGAAGCTCCGTGCCTCGCTGAGCTCCTGGCCGCTGTTGATGTGTGGAAGGCTCTCCCTACCCCCCCACCTTCCCGAAGTTTGGGGGTCCCGTGGTTTCTGTAGGCCTGGTCTCGAGGCTGCACAGGGGGTGAGGCGCTGCGCCCGCTGTGTTTCAGCTCACGGCAGTGAGAACTGGGCCAGGTGGGGAAGGGGCCTGCGACAGGGCAGGAGTCCGTTCGGCTTCTGATTCTGTGAGCTGGGGCCTGACCTTTCCCACCTCTGTCCTTGCTTGGCCGGGGTCGTACCCAGCCTCTCCCCTGGGGCTCGCGGAATCCAGGGAGGGACTTCCTGCGGTCTCTTCTCTCTGCCCAGAGGGTAGTTTGCCCGGGAAGTACATTCGTCCACGGGTGGCCACGTGAGATTGGTTTCACGACTTCATGGATACTGCAGCCTCTTGTACAAAGTGCATAGAACCTGCCCACGTCTTCTGTGCACTTAAAGTGCACAAGTGTCGGCCATGTTCAGTCCAGGTGGGCATGGAAGCCCTCCTGCAGGGAGGACTGCATTGGCCTCTGTCTGGGAGGCTTGTGGTCCCCAGCCTCTCCCCTGCCTCAGAAGCAGCTTGGAGGGCCTGGGGGTCTGAGAGGATCTGCGGGGAGGAGACACGGCAGGGAGGCGCAGTGTGAGCGCTCATCCGGGAGGGGGCTGGCGGCCATGTAAGAGCAGAGATGGAGCCTGGTCGGTGCTCCCGGCTGAGCCCACAGCCAGCCCCCCCCCATGGCTGCTGACCCTGCCTCTGCCCCCGCCCCCCATGCAGGCCTGAGCCCGCGATGCTGAAGATGATGACCTTCTTCCAGGGCCCTCCAGGCCAGCGGCCTGTACCAGGGACCCTCGACTTTCTCGGAAGCCCCCCAAAGCCGCGCTCCCCATCAGAGGCAGAGTCAGAGGCCTCCATGTTGGAGGCCTCCTCTGAGGACCTGGTGCCACCCCCGGACGCCGGGACAGCCCCGGATAAGGAGGAAGAACAGGCTGCCAAGAAGAAGAGGCCCAAAGGCCTGGCCACCATGTTCAGCGTCTTTACCAAAGGGAAGAAGAAGAAGGGCCAGCCCAGCTCGGCCGAGCCCGAGGCCGAGCCGCAGGCCAGGCCGGGGCTGGAAGGCCGCCTGCCCTCGGGTAGGCTGGGGTCTCCGGCAGCACCGGGTCCTGGGTCACGGCTGGGGCCACGGGGCGGGAGGGGGCAAGCAAGGCGGGCTCCAAGGGCGCCCATGTGCCCACCCTGGGAGCTGGGGGGGCGGGGCAGGGCGTTGCTGCGGCTCAGCCCCTCTCTGCGGGTGTGTGCGGAGGGTGGCTGGCGCCGACACGGTTTTCTGGGCCGCAGTGGAGGAGCTCAAGGCGGCGCTGGAGCACGGACGGCTGGAGGCAGCGCGGCCGCTGCTGGCGCTCGAGCGGGGCTTGCGGGCGGCGGCGGCCGCGGGCGGCACGAGCGCCGAGGAGCTGGTGCGGCGCCAGAGCAAGGTGGAGGCGCTGTACGTGCTGCTGCGGGACCAGGTGCTGGGCGTCCTGCGGCGGCCGCTGGAGGCGGCGCCCGAGCGGCTGCGCCTGGCGCTGGCCGTGCTGGCCGAGCAGGAGCGCGAGGACAGCCAGGCGGCCACGGAGCCCGCGCCGGGGGCGGCCGCCCTGGCGCCCACGCGCCCGCGGGGCTGGCTGCGGCTGTGGCGTCGCGGCGTGGCCGAGGTGGCGGCCGAGCGCCTGAGCCGGCGGCCGGCCGCGGGCGCCGACGGCCGCTCGGAGACGGAGAGCGCGTTCCTGCACATGGGCCGCACCATGAAGGAGGACTTGGAGGCCGTGGCCGAGCGGCTGAAGCCGGTGTTCCCCGCCGAGTTTGGCGTCGTGGCTGCCTACGCCGAGAGCTACCACGAGCACTTCGCCGCTCACCTGGGCGCCCTGGTGCAGTTCGAGCTGTGCGAGCGGGACGTCTACATGCTGCTGGTCTGGGTGCAGAACTTCTACCCCAAGTGAGCGGGGCGCTGGGCTCCCCGAGGGGGCACAGCTGCTGAGCCTGGGGGCGCGGGCTCCAGGGCACAGGCTGCAGGGGGCTGGGGCTGCTTTGCTCCTGGAACCCTTGGTTTTCTGGGCCTCTGCCGCAGTCTACAGTTGGGGAAACTGAGGCACAGAGCACGGCTGGGACTCGGTCATTCATTTGTGAACTTGCCACCTGGGGAGGGGCTGCAGCAGACAGTGAGCACCCAGCCCAGGAGGGGCCCTGAGCAGGAGCCGGGGCCCCGCATCCCCAAGCCCGGGCAGCAGTACCCCTTCTATCGGGTGCAGGGGAGTCAGCCAAGGGGAGGGACTTGGCAGGCAGAGAAGATGCAAGGGACATTGCTGCTCCCTGCAAAAGCTGTGTCATCTCCCAGGGCCTGCGGCTGTGCCAGGGGGCATCCTGGGAGCCGAGCAGGGCCTGCCCAGTGTTGGTGTGTATCTGCGGGCTCTGGGGTCAGGCTAGGACCAGGCACTGGGTTGGAAAGAGGCCTGTTGTGCAGGGTCACCCGTGAGCCCATGGCAGGATGGGCCCCAAGGCCTCGAGCCCCCAGGTGGGAGCTGGTGTTTGGCTGGCTGGCTCCAGGCTCCAGCACTGCCCGGTTGGCCCAGACTCCACCTGTTCCCCAGTGGGCCCATCACTCGCACAAGCTGCAGGGGTGCATGCGCAGGCCACAGGGCAGGGCGGGGGAGGGAGGGACTCCCCTTGGAAGGACTCGGCCCTGCTTTCCCCAGGCCCTGGCGTGAAGTCTGCAGGAAGGACGCTTGGAGACGCAGACAGAATGAGCAGTGTCTGAGGGTCCTGGGCCCCTGGGCGGCCAGCAGGTCCTGCTGGTGCGGGAGGGCACGCAAAGGGGCCATGCAGGCAGTGAGTGAGGGGCCAGCAGCTCCCAGGGCCGGGCTTGTGCGGGAGACAGCCTTGCCCCAGGCCAGTTCTTGCTGGCTGGTCCTGACTCACCAGTGCACTTGCACCTCTGCCCATCGTGAGCTCAGGCCCAGGGCGGTCAGCAAAGCAAGAAACTGAGGTCATTCTGGGCTCTGAGCTGGGGGAGGGGAGTCCAGGGAGACATTGTTTAGGCCTGAGTGGCCAGAAGTGTGGGGAACAGAGACACAGCTGTCCAGACCGGCCGAGGGGCAGAGGGTCATTCTTAACCTTAGACACACAAAGGCTCCTCCGGAAGGGCCAGGACTGGGCAGGTTCCCCGGGAGCTCTTGGAGGGGAGCAGGTCGGGGGAGCCCTTCCTGTCCAGACCGGCCCACTCCCTGGGCACAGCAGGGCTGGCAGGGGCGGGGCGGGGGGCAGGTCTGGCGAGATTCCCCAGGTGTTGGGTTCTCTGTGTGAGAGGGGAGCCTTGCTGGGGAAGATTGGATCTGAAAGGAGGCTGCAGGGGAGGAGCCATTGCTAGGGAGGGGCGGGCAGGGAAGGCGGCCATGGCGGCGGCAGAGGTGGGGGTCCTGCCACAACTGGTGGTGGCCTGCCGAGGACTGGGGTGGCTGAAGCCGATGGATTTCAGGGCAAGTGGGGGAGCTGAGAGGATGGGTGGTGAGGGAGTATGGGAGGCGCCCTGATACCCGACTGAGCGGCCAGATGAGGCCCAGTCATCTGAGGTGGGGACTGGCGGCGGGAGGGTGTGAGGAGGTGGGCTCTCGCCTGGCGGGCGGCGCTGGGCGGGTGCAGCGTCCCTCATGCCAGCCATGCCCTGTCCACAGCGACATCCTGAACAGCCCCAAACTGGCAGGCGAGCTGCAGGGGCTCAGGCTCGGGAGCCTCCTGCCCGCCCCGCAGATCCGGCTGTTGGAGGCCACATTCCTGTCCAACGAGGTGGTGAGTCCGGGAGGGGCTGCAAGGAGCCAGACAGGAGGCTCAGAGCCGGGCAGGGTGCTCGGCTGAGACTTCCGGTGTGCTGAGTGAGCTGGTCAGTGCTACAGGCACCTGCGCGTCTTCTCCCCTGCAGGCCAACGTGAAGGAGCTGATGTCCCGTGCCCTGGAGCTGGAGTCACAGCGCTGGGCCCAGGATGTGGCCCCCCAGAGGCTGGACGGCCGCTGCCACAGTGAGCTGGCTATCGACATCATGCAGGTACGAGAGCCTGGCCCGGGGACAGCCCGAGTGCCTGCAGGCGCTCAGCACTCCCGCCTGCGTGCACATCCCCCCTCCAGATGCCCCCCTGGCTCCTTGGCAGGATGGCCTCCCTGCCCCGGCCGCAGCCCACCCACTGGGCCCCAGCTCAGCTCACACCCGCCCTCTCCCCACCCCCCAGATCGTCTCCCAGGGACAGACCAAGGCCGAGACCATCACTCCTGACCTGGGCTTGCAGACACAGAAGGTGCTGCTGGTGGAGCTGGCCGAGTTCCTGAGGAGGTGGGCGTCCGTCCCCGCAGCCAGCTGTCCCGGAGCCACGCCCCTCCCTTGCCTTGATCAGCTCCCTCCCAGGCAGGGTCTGTCCTTCCCTCTGCCCGACCCCCACCCTGCATGAGAGCCTCAGGTAGTCCCCCCTCCACCAGAATCAGTGTGGGAGCTTCCAGCAGCAAAACAGCGTCTGGATTCCTAGAAGACAGCCCTGGGGAATTGAGGACTCTGCCACCCCTTCCCACGACGGCCCCTCCCCCTCACCTCCACCCCAGACTTGCCTGGCTGCCTCCCTCCCCACTCTGAAGACCTGTGTCAATCACAGCCCCTTCTGGCCTCCCAGTGATTGCAAGACCTAGAGGAGGGGTGGCAGCCCTGGAGGGGCCTGAGCGTGTGCAGCCGCGGACGTGGCGCGGGGTGGTAGCCCCTTCCTGGGCTGTCGGTGGTGGGCAGGAGTGGAAAAGCCCTCTGCTTGCCCAGGGAGACGCGGTCTGGCTTGGCAGCTGCTGTTGTGCTAGCCTGTGTGTGCCGGGCCCAAACGTACCCTTCTTGCTCCACCAGCTACCAGGCCAGCTTTGCCGAATTTCTGGAGAGAGGCAGACAGCTGAGAAATTACAGGGCCAATGTCATTGCCAACATCAACAACTGCCCGTCCTTCCGGTGAGGGTGCTGGGAGGGGCTTGTGTACTGGGGAGAAGGTGTTGGGGAGGGGGCACTGGAGGGGAGGAGGGACTGCTTGAGCAAAGGGAGTCGGCAGTGCGGGGGGGGCAGCCCACACATTTACCGCGCTGATGGGGTCAAGAACTCTTCTTGCCTCTTGTGGACGCTGTGAAGTGGCCATGGTGGTCGCGCCTGTGAAGCAGGTGGGCGAGGTGAGGCATTGAGAGGCTGAGAAGCCTGCCCTCGGCTAGAGCGGGTGTGGTGTTGGTGCGTGCCGGGGACACAGATGGCGTGGGGGTCCCCAAGGGGGATTCGGAGCCATCGAGGGCTCAGGGTGAAGGGTTGTTGAGGTCCGACTCCCTGGGTGACCGCCCCGCCTCCGCCTTCCAGGACATCCGTGGAACAGAAGTGGCAGACACTGCAGGACCCCCCAAGCCGCCTGCTGGACCCCCTGAGTGAGCTCAAGAGCCAGGGCTTCGACGCGCTGCTGCAGAGCCTGTTCTCGGACCTGAAGGTGGGCGGTCTCTCCCTGGGGCTCGTCCCGAGCCTGGCGCCGGAGGGAGGGCACAAGGGGGGCTGCAGGGAGGGGGCATGGCGGGAGCAAAGGTGAGGGGTAAGCTCTGTGAGGCTGGGGGTGCCTGGTGATGGGGCACCAGAGGGCCCCTGACCTGGCCAACCACTTGTCCTGGGCGTTGGCCTGACCCGTCCCCGACTTCCCCCACCCCTTGGAACCCGGAAGCTTCCCCATCTCGAGCCAGGCCGGTCCCCACATTTGCACCCTTTTCCACGACTCCCCCAGGCCCTGCTGCCCACCCCCGGCTCCATACCTGACTCCCAGCTCCCAGTCGCACCTGCTGGGGACCTGGAAGTGCCCAGAGGACGAGACAGGTCCCTTGAAAGGAAGAGGAGGGGCTCCTTGCCCAGTGTGCAGGGCTGGAGGCCTGCGGGCGCTGAAGGCCCGGCGGTGACCCCGGATGACTTGGCACCAGTCTCCCAGATGCAGCCAAGCACAGGGCCTTGTTTATGCAGGAATTTATTTATTTAAGAGGGAGGCAGTGGAAAGGCCTCAGGGCCAGCAGACGGGCTGTCTTCACTCCGGAGCCACAGCTGGGTGACCTTGGAGACAGGAACAGGGTCCCGCCTCCACTTCCTGTCTGTGGACAGGACCTGCGGCCTGCTTGCTTTCCCTGGAGTCCCTGAGTCCCTCGGCGCCTCCCACACGGGCGAGGGGGTGGTGTCTGTGCCTCTGGGGCTGGTGGCCCTCGCTGCCCAGGGCGTGACCAGACCTCCTGCCCGTCTCCTGGCCCAGCCGCTGTTCAAAAGGTTCACGCAGACCCGCTGGGCCGCCCCCGAGCAGACCCTGGAGGAGATCGTTGGCACCGTGCTCACAAGGCTGCCCGAGTTCTCGGAACTGCAGGACTGTTTACGGGAGGTGAGGGGCTCTGGGCTGCTGGCATGGCCTGGGGTGGGGCAGCTCGGGGACATGTGCCAGCACGTGTGTGTCCTCCCTCATGCACACGAGCACACATGTGCGTGCACATACACACGCCGACACACGCTCCCCATGCACGCCCTTGCTCTGGCATCTGCCCCTCCCTGGCTTCCTGGCTTCTGCGGCCTCCCGGGAGGTGCTGAGCTCCCGGTCCCCGGCGGGCCCACACGGCTTGGCCCTCGCCCTCAGGAGCTCATGGAGGTGATACACCTGCACCTGGTGAAGGAGTACATCGTCCGCCTGAGCAAGCGGCGCCTCGTGCTCAAGACAGCCGAGCAGCAGCAGCAGCTGGCCAGGCACGTGCTGGCCAATGCCGAGGTCATCCAGCGCGTCTGCACTCAGCACGTGAGCCCTGCCCTGGGGTGGGCTGCTGCTGCTCCCCCAACTCCTCCGGCCCCAGGCAGCCCTCAGGGCCTCTCCAAGCCTGCCGGTTACTGACCTGAGCCCCCCTGGGCCCCAGCGTGTCTGTGGGGGTCTCAACCAAATCTGTGCCTGCAGGGTTCCTCTGCGACCTGGCTGCACCCTGCCCTCCCCACTCTCGCTGAGATCATTCGCCTGCAAGACCCCAGTGCCATCAAGATCGAGGTGGCCATGTATGCCACCTGCTACCCCGACTTCAGGTGAGAGTGAGGGGCCCCTCGGGGCCTCCGTGGTCAGCATGGCCCTGCCAGGCCCGGCTGTGGTCCGGGAGCAGACGCTGGTGCTCTGCCGCGGTGAGTCCTGGCAGCTCACGCCGGCCGCCGTGCTGAGATCTGTCCCAGGGTTCGCTGCTGTGATCTGCCCGGCAGCCCCGAGAGGCGGTCACAGACGAGGTCTGCAGAGCTTAAGAGGTGTGGCCAGAGTCAGGATGACAAAGTCAAGCCGTCTGCTCCACAGACCGTGCTCTCTCCTGATACTCAGGGGAAACTGAGGCCGGGAGACCAGTGTCCACCACTCACCCAGCCTAGGGCCCCTTGGGGGCTGGAACCTATGCCCTGGGCCCTGGAGCTCCTATTGGGAAGTGGAGGCTTGGCCTCTGGCTGCCCCAGGGTCTGGCAGTGTTGCCCCTGGGCAGGGTCCTCTGACGTGGTGGAGGGAATCTGGGTGGGCTTGAGTGGGCTTGACCCATCTTGGCCCAGTCCAGTTCCTGGCTGATCTACTTCACCCATCCATTCATCTGCCCACTGGTAAAATCACCCTCCGTCCACCCATCTGTCTACCCGCTCACCCGCCCAGGGACCCCAACCATCAACCGACAGTCTGTTCCAGGCACCGGGGTGCAGGCAGGTACAAAGCAGCCAGGCCTCAGCCCTCCGCTGTGGAGCTGGCCGTGTGTTGAGGGCCAGCAGTAACGATGCTCTCGGGCGAAGAACTACAGGTGCAGGTCTTGAGCAAGAGCCGCCCGATTTCGGCACTGGGAAACCATCCAGGGTCGTGACTGCTCAGCTGAGACCCGGAGGCTGGGCTGGAGCTGGTCTCTCAGAAGCGGGGGCTGGAGCTAGGCTGCTCCCAGGGGCCAGGTGGCCAGGGGGGCAGGGTGGATGGGCCGGGGCAGCGAGGTCCCCATGTGGGTAGGGGCTGGCCGCAGGGCCCCGGGGCACTGCCCGGAGCCCGGGGAGCCGGGCGGGGTGAGAGCAGGGGTCCTGGGGGCTGGGCTGGGCCCGACAGACCCCCTCTCCTCAGCAAGAGCCACCTGAGCGCCATCCTGGCCATCAAGGGGAACCTGCCGAGCAGCGAGGCCAAGAGCATCCGCAACATCCTGGACGTCCACACGGCGGCGCAGGAGCCTTCCAGGTCCCTGTTCTCACTTATAAACGCGGGTTAGCCTTTCCTGCCTCCTGCCCTGCTCGTGCCGGCACCGCGCCCCCTGTTCACACCGGTGCTGGCTCCGCCACCCTCCGGGCCTCCTGCGGCCTGCTCTGCGTCTGCTGACCTTGGCCGGGCCCCTGGGCAGCTGGAATCGGACAGACCTTGGTTCGGTTAGGACTCTGGGCGGGGGGCAGGAGCACCCAGTGTGGGAGCCACCAAGGCAACATCTGAGAAAGCCTAGGGGCCAGGGACCCCGGGCCCCTCCCGTGCAGAGGGCCCTCCCGCAGTCCGCCTCACTGCTGTCCCTCCCCTAGGCCATCCTGAGCGCCCCTTCCAGCTCCCCGGGCCCTTCTTGCTTCCCTCAGTCCAAGGCCACAGGAGCTGGGCTCAGTGAGTCTGGAATCAAAGACGGACCTGGACTGGAAGGAGGTGGGGATGAACTCTTACCTGGGGCCTGGAGAGGGGCGCGTGGGGGCCCGAGCTGAGCTGGGGCACAGCCAGCACCAGGGCCCACGTCCAGGCTGTCCCCGGACCCCCAGGCCTGGGTCCCCTCGTCTCCCCCAGGGATGGCCCCCAGGAGGCCTAGGCGACCACAGCAGCCAGGCCCAGGACCTGGAGGACGCAGCCACTCTGCTGTGGTGGAGGCTGGGCGGGGGCGGGGCAAGCTCAGCCCCCTGTCTACGTCCTATTGCTGCTGTCCACCAACTTGATGGAAACAAGGGCTTAGAGCCGGGCTGGCTCGGGATGCACAGCGAGGTGTGGGAGGGCTGCGCTCCTCCTGGGGGGGGGGTGCGCATCCTGGTCTTTTCCTGTTGTTAGGGGCCACCCCTATTTCCGGCCTTGCATCTCTTCCATCTCCGGAGCCAACCAAGCCTAGTGAATCCCTTCACCACCTCCCCTCCTGCCTCTCGCCCCAGGGGGTGTCCCTGAGCAGGGTGGGGGGCCGGGGTGGCTGTGAGCCACCAGGGAATCCAAGATCATCTCCCTACCTTAAGTCAGATGAAAACCAACCCTAATTCCATCTGCAACTCTAAGTCCCGTTCGCCGTGCAACCTCACAGAGTCACGGGCTCCAGGGGTCAGGATGCGGGCAGCTTCGGGGTCACGGGCTCCGGGGGTCAGGATGCGGGCAGCTTCGGGGTTCCCTTATTCTACCTGCCACAGCCTCCCTCCCTCCCCCCAACCATGGAAAACTTGGATTCCGTTTCCCTGCTGGGTCTCTGCTCCCTGCCCCCCTAGAGCCTTTAAGACTGATCACTGAGCCCTGAGCCCGGCCGCGATCCCCAGGGCTTGCCAGGGGGTGGGCCCCGGAGGACCCGCCCCCACTGCTGCCTGCCCGGCCGGCCCAACTTGGCCTCCCCAGCCCAGGTACTGCCTTACGAGACTTGGCCAGCAGCTGGCCAGTGTGAACCGTGCACTGAGGTCCTTGTACGTTTGTAGGAGTCGGCTTGTTTGATGTTATTAATATTAATATTATTTTTATAGTATTACTTTTGTATGTGTGTAGTCTGGACAGGATCTGGGTTTTACAGTTTGCTATTAAATTTTGATTTCCACAATGGCTGTGCAATGGTTTCTTTGGGGAGCTGCAAAGTGGGGTGGGAGTCCGAGGCTTGGCCCCCAGGGTCGGGCCAACTGGGTCTTCCCAGGTGGGTGTGGAGTCTCCCAAGGCTCCAGCACCCTGAACACAGTCCACACCCTCCTCCCTTGGGGGTGAGCTTTGGGTGGTCCGGCTGAGGCCATGCCTGTCTGAGCCTGTTTCCTCATCTGGCAATATGGGTGGGGGCCCTTGGGGGCCTCCCCACCGCCCTTCCGCCCTTCCTTGGGGATGAGGGGTGGTGGGAGGGGGGTGGGCTCTGGACCATTTCAGCACCGGGAAGCTCTGGGCAGAGGGGTCCCTGGTCCACAGGGTGACCAGGGAGGGTGGTCCTGCTCCTCCCCCCCGCAGCACCACAGCAGTTCCAGCATAGGGCTTGGATGCGCATGGCCTAGGGTCCTTTGGAAGCGCCTGGGCACCAGCTAGACGGTGGAGGGAGCTCACCCGGCAGGAAGCAGGGGGTCGAAGGGGTGGGGCTGAGGGGTGGAGTGGGAGACCCCTGCCGTGGGGCTGGGCATGGGGAGCAAGCCCCTGGGGCAGCCGACCCGAGCGGGACCAGCACCCCCGGGGCGAGCGTGGAGGAGAGAAGTTGTCTGGGAGGGGAAGCGCGATCCCGCCCGGGGAGGGTGGCCCGCGGCTCCGCCCGGTGCCCGGCTCTACCTCGGTGACTTCCCCAGGAAAGGCCCAGAAGGGGCAGGCTTTGTCCCAGTGAGTCATGGGCAGGGGCGCGGCAGAGCCTGGACCGGGTGGGGCCCTCTGGGAGGAAACGCTGCGGGTCCCAGTCCAGGGGCTGATGGGGGGGGCTGGCACGGGAGAGGCTGCGGGGTGGCTTGCCGAAGAGAGGACCCTTGATCGGGAACCCCAGACTTGAGGAGGTCCCTGGTGCCCACCAGGGCAGAGCCTGCAGGGGAGGGGGCAGCCTGGGGACTTGGGGTTTTCAGGGAGAAAGGCAGGGGGCTGCAGGGATGGGGGCTTGGGGTGAGACCCTGCCAGGAGGGCAGTGGCAACTCTGGGGCTTGCGGGGAGGCCTGCAGCGAGCCGGCTGTGCTGCTGCTGGAGCAGAGAGGGGCCCAGAGCACGTAAGGGGCTCTGGGGCACGCTAGTGGAGAGGACAGTGCCTGCTCCGGCGTGGGGTTGAGGGACTTAGGGCAGGCTGCTGGTGGGTGGAGGGAGAGCAGTTCACCCACCTGCGGTGCCAGCATCCCACATGGGCACTGTTTTGTGTCCACTGCTCCACTTCCGATCCAGCTCTCTGCTCATGTGCTGGGAAAGCAGAGGAGGATGACCCAAGTGCTTGGGCTCCTGCACCCACGGGGAAGCCCGGAAGAAGCTCCTGGCTCCTGGCTTTGGAGTTGCAGCCAGGGAAGGCGTGGGGGAGGGGGAGGGGGCCGGAGGAGACATTTGGCCTAGTCTGCAGAAAGGGAGGAGGCTTCGAAGACAGACGGACGCAGGCGAGTGAGGACGTCCCGCGTGCTGTGCCGGCCCCCAGGGGCACTCTCACGGCTTCCAGAGCAGCCTTTGGTACAGCCCCCATGGAGGGGGAGTTGGCAACGTGGGTCCAGCTGACGTGCGCGCACACCTGGGAGCTGGCCCTCCCCCCCGGGGACTCTTACCCACACTCTCACATCCGTGGAAGTGGCACAGGTCCCAGGGCAGTCACTGGACTGTGGCACTGAAAATGCTAAAGGGCTGTGAACTCCCTGCACGTCCATCAGGAGGCACCGGGGAGCTGACCGCAGGGCTCCCGGACACGGAGGTGCCGTGGAAATCAGAACTGACACCGCTGAGGGGGAGCACAGCAGGCAGCTGGCCGTGTGCTGGCTTCACGGAAAGCAAGCGGGAAGGCAGAAGTGGACATCCCAGTGTGCACGAAGGCAGGAACCATGTCAGTCGTTGCTTGTACGTGCACCTGCCTGTGTGCGTGTGTGCGTGTGTGAGTCCGTGTGTGCAAGGTGGGCAGGACTGGACCCGGCGGAGGCAGGCTGGGGAGCAGGTGTCTCTGTGTCTTTACCCCTCGTTGGGCTTGTTCGTCCTGAGTGTGCTGTGTGTGAGCAGAGAGACCTGTGCCACCAGTCGAGTTCCGTGATGCAGCCTCTGCCAGGGCACAGCCCAGGGCTGGGAACCACGTCCTCCACAGGCCTGATGCTTGTGGGGCGGGAATACCGAGGAGCGAGAGACCAGAAATACAGGACTTGGTGCAGCCGCTGCCCTGGCTGAGGCAAGCGCGAAGGGATGAGCACACCCGGAAGGGCTCTCCCGCCCCGGAACCAGCGCGGCACCAGCTGGACGGTGGCCCGGGGCGCTGCGCCTGCGACCCCGTGAGCACCCCGGGAGGCAGGCGGGAGTCCCGCAGCGCCTTCTGCTGGCCAAGCCCAGGGTCTGAGGCTGGGGAGTGAGGCCAGGAAGGACAGTGAGGCCGCGGCGTGATAAAGCGGCCAACGGCTTCCCCGTTTCCCAGAGCTCTGCCGGACACCACGCGTCTGTCCTTCCGGCAAGTGAAGACTCACCCACCCGCTCCCCAAAATGAGGAGAGGCCCCCACCATTATGTCCACCCCCTGTTTACTGATGACGTCACAAATTCAGCCCCAGCCCACTGAGTATTCTGTTGTCTAAAGACTGCACTGTAGGGGCCGGCACTGTGGTGTAGCGGGTGAAGCCACCACCTGAAGTGCCGCATCCCATACAGGAGCTGGTTCCAGGCCCGGCTGCTCCACTTCTGATCCAGCTCTCTGCTATGGCCTGGGAAAGCAGTGGAAGACGGCTCAAGTCCTTGGGCCCCTGCACCCACGTGGGAGACCCAGAAGCTCCTGGCTCCTGGCTTCAGATTGGCCCAGTTCTTGCCGGAGTGAACTAGCAGATGGAAGACCTTTCTCACTCTACCTCTGCCTCTCTGTAACTCTACCTTTAAAATAAATAAAATAAATAAATTTAAAAAAAAGACTACACTGTAATGTTAACCTCCAACAAATCATACGATATTGTGAATGTATAAATGTAATTATACTAATACAATACAATAAAAAAGACAAGGAGAAAAAGGAGAGACATAGAGGCAGGAATTATGGCATAGCGAGTTAAACCGCTACTTCCAAAGCCTATATTTCCTATCAGAGTCTCTGTGTTCAAGTCCCCACTCTGCTCCCCATGCAGCTCCGTTACTGCACATCCTGCTAATGCGCTGCCCAAGTGCTTGGGTCCCTGCCGCCCACGTGGGAGACCTGGGCGGAGCTCCAGGCTCCTGGCTTCAGCCCGGCCCAGCCCTGGCTGTGTGGGCATTTGGAGTGTGAGTGAACCAACAGATAGAAGAGATCTCTCTCTCTCTATTTTTTTTCTCTGTCTCTGTTGCTCTGCCTTTTAAATAAAAATATATAGATAGATAGATAGATAGATAGGTAACTTTTTAGGTCAGCATGTACAAGACAC